AATCCCATCAGAAATTGGTGAACCTTTTCTTTGTCGCGTTGGATGACAAGCGCTTTGCTTATCCCACACTTGCATCCATGGCACTTGCAAGCGGGGATTTTTTCATGATCGCCGAGTTCGTCCCATATGGTTTTTAATTTTCCAAAGTACGTAACGATGGACTGACCGTTTTGCTTGCAATTTGCAAGTTCCTTCTTCAGTTGATGAATTCGAGGACCGTTTGCAACAGAGAAACGATCTTGGATATCCTTCCATAGTTCTGCTGCTTCTTCTACCTGTGTGATGGAGTTTCTCAGGCTGCCATCAATTGTGTTGTAAATCCATGAGACCAACATGGCATTCACAATCCACCATTCTTCATAGTTTTCATCTCCCTCTTCTGGACAAGGGATGGATCCGTCGATGAATCCAATTTTCCGTTTTCCACGGAATGCAATTCTCATTGCACGAGCCCATTCTTCATAATTATCACCGTTTAGTTTGACTTGGGTGATAATTAATCCAGGTGTGTCTGCGTTCTTGAGTTCGTAAGAACTTCCCTTCGTAGGGATCTTCTCTTCCTCTTCGAAGAGCTTGCCGACGAGATTTTCTTCTACTTCTGCCATGTCGACGGTCGAGAAGGAAATTCTGGCGGTGATGGACCGTCGTTTGTCTAGATTAGGGTTTTCCTAGGAATCTCGCTCTGATACCATGTAGAAAATAATAAGAGGGAAAATATTCTGTATATTCAATTGTTCTGTTTAGTTACAAGGGGTTTCTCCTTTATTTATAGGAGAGGATGATTCCAAAATAGACAAGGAATACAAATCCTACAAGGAAACAAATTATAATCAAACTAGGAAACAAATAAATCAAGATCAATCCTAATTTGAATGGGATTCGGTCATCAAAGGATTTGGACTTCTCAAGTTCGGATTTCTCGGAATTCGGATCTCTCGGAATCCGGATTCCTCGGAAGTCGGACTTCTCCGGATCCGGACTTCTCCGGATCCGGACTTCTCAGTTCCAATATATATTTTGAAAAAATAAAACTGTTATTTGCGTTTCCGATTTTCGTAGGTGTGTGACATGGGAGCAGCTCGCTCTATTGTCTTGTCCTTGCCCATAGCTTCTGGTTTAGCACTCCTTTCAACTGTCATGGCTTCTACAATGGGTATGGTTTTTTTAAGCGACTTATATGAGAAGTCAGTTTACAAGTACAAAGAAACATATCATAAGTTATGTATTTGAGTGTAATAGTACAATTTGCATGTTGCAGTGAGCAAGAGTTACATATGGGCTTATGCTACATTCCAGTTTGCTGGGGTTTTACTATTTACTTACATATTTTATACAATGGTGAGTGATTCTCCCTTGTGTTTATATACTCTCATTTAAATCATTTCAAATCAATTGAGTTTAAAAACATAAACTAACATTTCTCAAAAATAGTGAGCGGGACGGAGGGAGTACGAACTTTACATTTCTTTAGCTGGGAGAAAATATTAACCCTTTTTTCTTGTGTTTGTGAAACGTTCACAGCTTAATGTGAGTGCAATTCTATCAATTCTGCTTTCTGCCTTCACCGGATTTGGGATCACATTCAGCGCGAATTCGTTGCTTGTTGAGTACTCTAAGTGGCGTTCCACGAGGCGTATTCAAGTATTACAACTTTCCCGTCAGAATGTTGGGGTAGATGGTAGGGTCAACAATTGACATGACCCGTTAAAATTTTAAAGTTAATATAACTAAAGCATTTTTTGATATGCATTGCACAAGAATAATTTTTTTTTGGTTTTAAATTTTCATTTTATTTTTGTCAAATTTGAATACTTGGTTTTATAGTTTCTTACTTGTCACTTTTTCTTTTCGAAAAAGGTAAATTAGGGTTTGGGAGACTTCGTTCCAATACCATGATACAATTTGATAATAATTGGTTTTATTGAGTATCTAATGATACATCTTTATTTATAAGAATTACATGAGAGACTTCTAATCCTAATAAAAAGAATATAATAACAAATACAATAAGAAAATAAAGAAATAAGGAAAGAAATTAATTAATACTTCCTCCGTCCCAGAGTATTCGTCCAGTTTTGACTTTTGGAACTGTTCATCTAAGCATTTTGACTCATCAAATTCTCTCAATGTTTACGCCTAAATATAGTCATGTGTGATCTTGTTTGATTTGTCTTAAGATCGTTGTGGGCCCAGTGAAAGTACAGTTTTTCTTTGAATACTCCATCCGTTTACAAATAAACTTCCCGTTGCGCGTTACGATATTTGACTAAAGTTATTTTCAAATCTACAACAATAACTCAGTTGGATCCCACTATAGTAGGGTCTGGGGAGGGTGTGTGTACGTAGACCTTGCCCCTACTCAGAAGTAGGGAGGCTGTTTCCAAGAAACCCCCGGCTCAACCTGCACAAAAATATGGAACGGAATACAGTATAACACGGATAAAGCACCAAGAACAATGAAATAAAAGTCCTGCAAGCAATAGTAAAAGATTCCAATCAAACACAACACACTACAAAACAACCTCTACAGCACCGAGCTCCTATACAGCTACTCTAATCCTAGTTCTCTAAAGGTTCCTATCTAAGGCCATATTCTCAGTCAGCGTGAGAAGTCCTAAATCCTGCCTAATCACCTTCTTCCAATTCTTCCTAGGTCTAGCCCTTCCCCTACTTCCCCCGATAACTGTAATCCTCTCGCATCTCCGTATAGGGGCGTTAGCATCCCGCCGTCTCACATGACCAAACCATCTCAACATCGCTTCCTGCAAAGGAATTATTATAAACTTTACACTTCTTTAATTAGAAGGAAACATTAGCCTTATTCTCGGACAAGTTTGGATTCTATTTTTGGGTGAATGAAGTATTGATACTTGTTTTTGTGAAACATTCACAGCTTAACTTGAATGCGATTCTATCGATTCTAGACCTGGTCTAATACAGTTTGTTTGGTGTTAATTTATATCATCAAACATGACTATATTATTTTGTCAAATGACTAACGAAAATAAGAAAGAAAGTAAATGATCGATATTTGACCATATGAATAGTAAATATACAATTGAATTTGACATGGAAGAAGTACGTTATAATATTAAAAAGTATTGCATTCAATATTATCTATATATATATATATATATTTTAATTAAAAATATTTTTATGGAGTATTAAAAAATATCTTGGCAGTTGCCTTGTGACACGTGTGGATGAGATTCATGGGCGAATATGAATATGATGCTGAACCCAAATTTTTGTAAGAAAAAAAATTAACCTCTGGCCCAATCCAAATTCAATAGTTTGCACGTCTAAAAAACATATTCCTTCCACCTTAAAAAACTTTTTCTTTTTAAAAAAAACAAACTTTAAAAATGTATAATTTTGGTTTTATTTTCTACTCCCTCCGTTCTCAAAAATACTTCCTCTTTCATTTTTTCCACTTCCAACAAAACACTTCCTCTTTCTATTAAAAAACCACTTTTATGTTGGAACACACTTTGTACGTTTAACTAAAGTCGTGTTCATTTCTGACAGGTTTTGATAATTGCCAAACCGCCGTGGATATAAAGAGTTTCGTTGAATAACTCAAGGCGCGAAGAATGGCATTTACAAGACCCGAAAGACTCAAGGACAAGATCAAGAATTGAAGACTTAGTCGAGTCGGTCTTTTGATCAAAACCGACAATCAAATTCAAGTGTCGGTTCTCAAAGAGTCAAAATAATTTTACAAAATCATAAAATATTTTTGTGCATCAAAATAAACATTTTTGATAAATTTTTTATTGCTAAAATCCCTGGTCCTTGCTCAGAACCAAAATCACCTAAGTCGGCGTACGGTGTTCGGCGTTCGATTTTTGGCGCCCGAACCAACTCGGTGGTTTTCAATGTTTTAAACCTCGTTTTTATATCTGAGCATATTTAAAAGGTTCCCAAATAATTATTCCATAAAAACCACTTTTGTATCTTGGTCAATCGGTCTAGCACGTGAAAAACGGTCAAAACCGCACCCACGTGATGTACGGCCTTGGAGACTTGGTTTTTACCGAACAAGTCTTGTTTTCACTATTTTATACTATATACAATGTTTTTCAAACTTGGTTTTTACTTTTGGGAACACTTCGTTTTTGGACCTCGGTTTTTCAAAACGGGTTTCAGCTGGCTAGACTTTAGCTGGGTGATAATCGATTATCACCTTAGTGACAATCGACTATCAGCCCCTGCAGCTTTGAACTTCCAAAGTTCTGAAGCACTTAATAATCGATTATCACTTATGCAATAATCGATTATCAGCCTTTGCAGCCAAAACCCAGAATCTTCTGAGAGGACCAATAATCGATTATCACTTGTTGACAATCGATTATCTGGGTTACCGTTGTCCTCCAACGGATAGTTTTTTAAACTTTTGGACAGGGAATCTTTTAATAATCGATTATCATGTCTAGACAATCGATTATCACCCTGCAACTCTGAAAAATTTGTCTTCATCCTGTTGGAAAATTTAGCAACGGTTTTATCCCATTTTGGGCTATAAAATGGCACCCAAATCCTCTCATTTTATACACAATTCTTCAACATTTCAATACTCTTTCATTGCATAATCATTCCTATTTTTCTTAGCTATTTGAGAGCCCATTCTTGAAGAAATTGTCGTGTTTTTGAGCGTTTACTAGTTCACTCATATCTACTCTTTGTGAGAGTTTTATTCCTAAGTGTTTAAGTGTTTTTATACACTTTAAGGGAGGTTGTTCCCTTGTTGTAAACTCGAAGGAAGTTCTTTGTTCCTTCGTGAGAAGTCTTGGAGTGCGGTATCTCCAAGCAAAGGTGTTGAGGCTCGTGTGACTCGGGTTCTCAAGTTGTATCGGTTTGTTAAGCACCCTTAAGCTTAACAGAGTTAGTGTAGCTCGAGAGAGTCTCTCGGGAGGCTGGATTAGCCACACGTTGTGGTGAACCAGGATAAAATTCGGTGTGCTCCTTCCTTACGCTCTTTACTTTTACGCTCTCGTTTTTAATTTCCTGCGATTTTGTTTTAAACGCTATTCACCCCCCCTCTAGCGTTGGGCCTTTATTCTAACATTTTACCCTTACTTTTTCATACCCTACCTATCACATCATACTTTTTCTCTAATAATCTATCCATCACATCTTACTTTTACCCATCACATCAGGGGCAAAATTGGAAATCAACTACTCCCTCCGTTTGGAAAAACCCTTCCCATTTTAATTTGGGGCAAAAATAAGGAAGTGTTAAATTATAGTTGATTTCCAATTTTGCCCCTGATGTGATGGGTAAAAGTAAAATGTGATGGATAGATTATTAGAGAAAAAGTATGATGTGATAGGTAGGGTATGAAAAAGTAAGGGTAAAAGTGGTTTTTTAATAGAAAAGGGAAGTGTTTTGTTGGAAGTAGAAAAAATGAAAGAGGAAGTGTTTTTGAGAACGGAGGGAGTATAATTTAAGACTTCCTTATTTTTGCCCCCAAATCAAATGGGAAGGGTTTTTTCAAACGGAGAGAGTAGTTCCTAATTTTCTATCCTACACATGCATTATATGATGCCCTATTAATGTTTAGTTTTTTTTTTCAAATAGGAAATATTTTTTTAAGAAGAGAGAAGAATTGCACAAGCTTGCTATTTGGGACCATATACGAGGTGCATGTATCATTTGTCACGAATGTTCTTGACCCAAAAATAAAAAAACTGCTAGGTTTCGAATTTGGTAATTTCTTTGGTGCTATACCAAAAAAGTTTTTTTTTTATTTCATTTGTTCAAAGTAAATTTTGAAAATCTTGAATTTCCTTAAAAACCACCATCAAGCCTTAAATAGAGTACCACTCTCTAATTCCTTTTAGCTATATAAACTGTAAAAAGGATTTCACTAAACCTAAGGTAATCGAAGGGAACAAATTATTAGGATTTGAAGAAAATGGCGAAGTTTAATATGTTGTCCATACTCTTTGGTGTATTGTTCATCCTATCGACAGGTTTTTTATATTTGTAATTGTTTAAATATAATGTGTTATAAGTTATAACCAAAATTCAAATTTACATCATATCGCTTATTGTGCTTTTTTCGTAGGGTGCACTTGTTTTTTAATTTATATATACATCAATAACTATTTTGTCTTTTCTTTTTTCATCTATCCAAAAAACCATTCTTTTTCAATTCACCTACATGTGACATGATTTTATTCATTCTTAGTTTATCAATCTCATCATATTTTTGCTCTAAAAAGTTAAAGAACTCACTCGGTATTAATTTTAAAAAAAAGTCTTCTCTTGGCATTGACAATCTATTTTTTTGCAAAATTTGCATTGACAATGTTAGAGGCTGTATTCAATTAAGATTTCGATAGATTTTTTCTTGGATTTTAAAAGTCATTGAATATTTAGTTGAAGTTTTTTTAATAATCATTTAAAATTTTAATGTGCTGAATTGAAATTTTACCAAAATTCTTTCTAAATCTGATGATATTAATAAAAAGATAATCCCGCTTAGATACCATGTTGGAACTTCGATGGCCGAGTGAATTGGGCAGAATATTGGACTGAATTTAAGTCTAAAGTTCTACTTTAGAACCTTAAATTTTGATAGTATTTTATCCTATCAAAATTATCTTATCTTAAGACAATGGTTAACTTTAAAAAATTGAAATAATGATGTACTCGTATATATATAGGTCTATGGTTTAATTAATTTGTTTACTGTTCTTTTTTTTCTTGGTGTTAGATTTTGTGCCAACAGATTGTAAGGTCTTCTGTTGTCACGACAATCACATCGGTTCTTGTAATCCTGGCACCAGTGATGACACCAAATGCGATAACCTCTACTTTCAAAGCAATTGTGGCAAGGGCGGGAAATGCAAGATCTTAGGCAAAAAACCCCCTAACCATTTTTGTCATTGCTTTTGCTAGCTTGCAGCTAGAACGAAAGCCGCCATGGCTATTGTACAATACAATACAAGATTGTAGTATTTCTTCATTCATTGTTGAGCATTTAATCTCTTGCATGATATATAGTAAAAAACAATAATTTTTTTGTGACGAATTTCTATAAACGTTATTGGTTCACTATCTTTTTGCACATTGATTTAGAGCTAAATATTGTTATATATTTTAATGTAATTGGAAAAAACTATTGACCAATAATATCATAATAATCATCAAATAAGTTTGGTGGTGCAGAGTACACGCTTTGTTGAATTTGTTATGATAAAAGTCCTGTTATAATGGGGGTTCTGAAGGGGCAACTGTTAGGTCTATAATTTTTAGTATATGGGTTGGCGTTATTTTTGACAACACACAACCACTAGAACATTGTAGTGTAGTGTCCTTATGTTAGTAGTATTATTGGTCATCCAAACAACCCTTCCTTATTTTTGCCTAAAGTCAATGTAGGAACTGTTTTCCTAAAAAGTCATCCTTTTTTTCATAAAATGCTTCCCCATTTTTTAATAATTCTTTTGTGGGCCTTATATTTACTCATCATTTTCTCTAATCTTTTATTTTTTTAGAAACTTTTAACTTCAACCCTATAAATTTCCAAACATTCCAAAATAAACTAAATATTACCCCCCTTAAATTATCTAAAATAAGGGGAAGCATTCATAGCTTCATAATCTTTCACATCATCAATTTCAATGCATAGGTTTTGGAGAAGCATTTGGGTTGTAAATGATCTAAAACCCTTCATTTCAGATTTCAAAACTCATACTCCCTCCGTTTTTTAAAACCCTTCCTCTTTCATTTTTTTTTTGTTTTTCTTAAAACACTTCCCTTTTTTATTAAAAAACTACTTTTACCCATACTTTTACCCATCACATCAAAGGGCGAAATTGGAAAGTCAACTACAATTTAACACTTCTTTATTTCTCCCCAAAGTCAAAAGAGGAACTCTTTTGAGAAATGGAGGGAGTATTATTTCTCTCAGATATTAATTATCAAAACTCATATCATATATTAATCCTTTGAAATTCAATAAACCGCTTAGTATGAAATCGTTTATTTGGAAGGTGTCGAAAAACAAACACCGTTTATATTTAAAAACTACTCCGTAGAAGACAGGGAAATGCTAAACAAAAAATTAAATTTAAATATTTATTTATGTTAATAATGTGCAGTGAGTGATTTTATTTCAATACAATATGTCCAGGATTTGGAAGGATGTGCCCATTTTGCTTTTGATCAGCATGCTAGCATATTTTTGTTTCTTGGAGCAGCTTCTGGTACTATTTTTTGCATTTCCTACCCTCTCTCCCTAAGTCATCCAACCAAACAACTCCTTAATGTCAACAAAGAACTCCTTTAAATAAAAAAAATAGTTTGACATCTAAGTATTTTACAAACATATACAGAGATCATCATTGTCTCTTACACACAGAGACAATCATCGTTTATGCTTGCATGTGGAACACTCAGGGCTGGCCCCAAGGATTCTGTGGCCATGGCCAAGACGGAAAAAATGGGCCCTAACCCCTATAAATTAAATTATGTAAACTACTTTGTTTAAAACAATACACCCTCCGTCCCACTTTCTCTTTTGGGAAAGCGTGTTGACTTGAAACGCTTATTAAGGAGTGGTAAAAAAAGTGTCTGATTTTCAAAAATGCATATACTACTCCCTCCGTTCTCAAAAACACTCCCTCTTTCATTTTTTTCACTTCCAACAAAACACTTCCCCTTTCTATTAAAAAATCACTATTAAAACACGGAGGGAGTATTAGTTTTTAAACCTCCTTTTCTTATTAAAAACAATAAAGAGTATATTAGTGATAAAATAGAAGGGTATTATTGAAAATTATTTTTAAAACTATACTAAAGAAAGAAATGAGAAAAATATTTCCAGACGGACCAAAGAAGAAAGTGGGAAGAACAACATTCCCTTGAGTCGGCTCTGGGAACACTTGGTGAGTTTCTAGCATTTTTGTAAAAATAAAACTACCATTGTGTTTCCGATTTCTGTAGGTGTGTGACATGGGTGTTGCTCGCTCTATTGTCTGGTCCTTGCCCATATCTTCTGGTTTAGCACTCCTCTCAACTATCATGGCTTCTACCATGGGTATTGTTTTTTAAGCGAATAATATTAAAGTCAGTTTATAAGTACAGAGAAAAACACTTCATAAATTATGTATTTAACTGTAATATATAGTACAATTTGCATGTTGCAGTGAGCAAGAGCTACATATGGGCTTATGCTACATTCCAGTTTGCTGGGGTTTTACTATTTACTTACATATTTTATACAGTGGTAAGTGATTCTCCCTTGTGTTTATATCCTTATTTAAATCATTTCAAAACAATTGAGCATAAAAATATAAACTAACATTTCTCAAAAATAGTGAGCGAGACGGAGGGAGTACGAACTTTACATTTCTTTAGCTGGGAAAAAATATTAAGCCTATTTCTTGTGTTTGTGAAACGTACGTTCACAGCTTAACGTGAGTGCAATTCTATCAATTCTGCTTTCCACCTTCACCGGATTTGGGATCACATTCAGTGCGAATTCGTTGCTTGTTGAGTACTTGAAGTGGCGTTCCACGAGGCGTATTCAAGTACTATAACTTTCCCGCCAGAATGTTGGGGTAGATGGTAGGGTCAACAATTGACATGACCCGTTAAAATTTTAAAGTTAATATAACTAAAGCGCTTTTTGATATGCATTGTACAAGAATAATTTTTTTTTTGGTTTTAAATTTTCATTTTATTTTTGTCAAATTTGAATACTTGGTTTTATAGTTTCTTACTTGTCACTTTTTCTTTTCAAAAAAGGTAAATTAGGGTTTGGGAGACTTCGTTCCGATACAATGATACAATTTGATAATAATTGGTTTTATTGAGTATCGAATGATACATCTTTATTTATAAGAATTACATGAGAGATTTCTAATCCTAATAAAAAGAATATAATAACAAATACAATAAGAAAATAAATAAATAAGGAAAGAAATTAATTAATACTTACTCCGTCCCGGAGTATTCGTTCAGTTTTGACTTTTGGAACTGTTCATCTAAGCATTTTGACTCATCAAATTCTCTCAATGTGTACGCCTAAATATAGTCATGTGTGATCTTGTTTGATTTGTCTTAACATAAAGATTATTAATATATATTTTCTATAATTTTTTAATATACAAATTATAAGATAAAATGGATTAAAGAAGTGTATTGGATGGTGTGTAAAAATGAAAGTGGACAAACACTCTGGGACGGAGAGAGTAATATTTTAAATCCTACTACAAAGGAGTCACCACATCCCCAATCTTTTTGGGACGGAGGGAGTACTTTTTATATCACTACATGGAGCTTTATGTGGTAAATGCATCAAGGTTCTAATGGAAACATATCTTTTTTTATTGGTGAGGTTGAGTGCATCTTTACTCTAAAAAAAGTTCGTTGTGGGCCCAGTGAAAGTACAATTTTTCTTTGAATACTCCATCCGTTTACAAATAAACTTCCCGTTGCGCGTTACGATATTTGACTAAAGTTATTTTCAAATCTACAACAACAACTCAGTTGGATCCCACTATAGTAGGGTCTGGGGAGGGTGTGTGTACGTAGACCTTGCCCCTACTCAGAAGTAGGGAGGCTGTTTCCAAGAAACCCCCGGCTCAACCTGCACAAAAATATGGAGCGGAATACAGTATAACACGGATAAAGCACCAATAACAATGAAATAAAAGTCCTGCAAGCAATAGTAAAAGATTCCAATCAAACACAACACACTACAAAACAACCTCTACAGCACTGAGCTCCAATACAGCTACTCTAATCCTAGTTCTCCAAAGGTTCCTATCTAAGGCCATATCCTCAGTCAGCGTGAGAAGTCCTAAATCCTGCCTAATCACATGCTTCCAATTCTTCCTAGGTCTAGCCCTTCCCCTACTTCCTCCGATAACTGTAATCCTCTCGCATCTCCGTATAGGGGCGTTAGCATCCCGCCGTCTCACATGACCAAACCATCTCAACCTCGCTTAAGCTATGTCTACCCCAACATTTAAACCCCAATTTGTACCCCGCAGGTTTGCACCAACATTTTGTTTTGGTGTAAAACTAATTTTTTTAAACGCACCAACATTTGTGTCCATGTAAATTTTTGTTAACGCACCAACATTTATGTTGGTGTAAACTATCAGAATGTTTGTGCATAACTGTGGGGTACAAAAAGTGTACATTTTTTGGTGTAAATGTAGCATGGTCCTTATTATAAACTTTACACTTCTTTAATTAGAAGGAAACATTAGCCTTATTCTGGGACAAGTTTGGATATTATTTTTGGGTGAATGAAGTATAATTGATACTTGATTTTGTGAAACATTCACAACTTAACTTGAATGCGATTCTATCGATTCTAGACTTGGTCTAGTACAGTTTGCTTGGCGGTTAATCTATACCATCAAACATGATTATATTATTTTGTCAAATAACTAATGAAAAGAAGAAAGAAAGTAAATGGTATTTAACCATATGAATAGTAAATATACAATTGAATTTGACATGGAGGGACTATGTTATAATATTAAAAAGTATTGCATTCAATAATATCTATATATATTTTAATTAAAAATATATTTATAGAGTATTAAAAAATCTCTTGGCAGTTGCCTTGTGACACGTGTGGATTACATTCATGGGCGAATATGAATATGATGCTGAACCCAAATTTTGGTATGAAAAAAAAATAACCTCTGGCCTAATCTAAATTCAATTTTTTGCACGTCTAAAAAAATACTCCTACCTTACAAAACTTTTTCTTTAATAATTTTGATTTCATTTTCTAATTCCTAATTTTCTATCCTACACATGCATTATATGATGACCTATTAATGTTTACGGAGAAGAAAACCCCCTAACTAGGAGTAAAACTTGGATCATATTCTCAAAGTAAGAGCTCAAACTTAAACTCCCCTAAATAGGAGTGATTAATTAAATATGTGTTCTGATTAATTCTAGCCGCACAAACCAAGTTAGGAAGAAACCATACTTCAATTGATCTTGAAGAGCATCGAGAGCAACAGAGAAAGGGGATTCGGAGATTGATGTATCACCATCAACCTGTAGAAAATAATAACCATAATAAATATTTTTCCTTGACATATGTGTCAAAAAACATTATAACAATAATTAAACACAATTTAGCTACCATAAATTTGGAGGAAAATGGCAAAAACAAAAAACACAAAAATCCTCCGGTGGTGATGGGTAGCTCCATCTATCGGCACCGTGCAAAAGGTCAAAAAAAAATTATACATTAAACAATGTCAAGGGGCGACGGTTTGTGTCAAAAAATGTAATATATCATACTGTAAGGTTGGACTCCCAATAATCATTAAACAAAACTAATGGCAAATAGTAGAGTTATTTGACATTTACCCCCTTTTTGACATTATGTATTAACATCTGTGATATACAACATTATACATTGACTTATCTTTCATTGTACATTATCAGGAATGGCATTATACAGTGTCAAGGTTGACATTATCTATTTAATTTGTTTCGCATTATGCATTCGCATGTATGACTTTATACATTGACATGATTGTCATTATATGATTACATGTGACATTTAGTGTGGTCTTTTTGATAGTCTATGGACATTTTAATGTAGTAATTTACTACGTTTCTATATGTAGGGTATTGATTCATTTTTGTTGATGAAGTTAATTTTAGGTGTGTTTTGTTATTGAATTAGTTTTGTTTACATTCAAATTTGTTATTTTTTTGTCGATTCAGCTGGGTTAATGATTCGATAACAATTTACTGTAAATCAAGATGACCGAACAAGAGTTCTTGCCAACAACACGCAGTGTGGAAAGTTTTTCTTTAACAATCATAGGATTGATTTGGGCGGCAGTTTATGGAACTACTTGTTAAAGCAAGGGCAATGTCCACATGGTCATTAACTCATTATGTTCCCATGGAAGAGTTGAAGAGGCACTAGAGTGTTCTAAGCAAATGATGAAGTGTTAAAATAAATTAAATTACATTTTTGACATTGCTGAATTTTTTCTAATTTCAAGAGTTGCAGACTTAGAGGCTTGGAGTGTATGGGTGTGTAAAAGAGTATGAAAATTTATCATTTTAAAAAAATAATTAAATAAAGAGGAAATTGCATAAAAGAGAGGCAGTGGAGATCCTAATTGGAAACAAAAGATTTGAAAATTCATGCATGAGGTGGCTTTTAATCTGTTGAGATTGAAATGTGTACGAATAAGAAGTTTATATTGGGATTTAGTTTTTGGGGTTTAAAAATTAGAGTCATTGTTAAGCTAATTATTCTTAATTAGGGGAGTTTAAGTTTTAACTCCTATTTTGGGATATGACATCTTTTTTACTCCTATTTTGGTCCATCTCCCTTTACGGAGTAGTTTTTTTTTTTTCAAATAGGAAAGATTTTTTAAGAAGAGAGAAGAATTGCACAAGCTTGCTATTTGGGACCATATACGAGGTGCATGTATCATTTGTCACGAATGTTCTTGACCCAAAAATAAAAAAACTGCTAGGTTTCGAATTTGGTAATTTCTTTGGTGCTATACCAAAAAAGTTTTTTTTTACTTCATTTGTTCAAAATAAATTTTCAAAATCTCAAATTCCCTTAAAAACCACCATCAAGCCTTAAATAGAGTACCACTCTCTAATTCCTTTTAGCTATATAAACTGTTAAAGGATTTCACTAAACCTAAGGTAATCGAAGGGAACAAATTATTAGGATTTGAAGAAAATGGCGAAGTTTAATATGTTGTCCATACTCTTTGGTGTATTGTTCATCCTATCGACAGGTTTTTTATATTTGTAATTGTTTAAATATAATGTGTTATAACCAAAATTCAAATTTACATCATATCGCTTATTGTGCTTTTTTTCGTAGGGTGCACTTGTTTTTTGATTTATATATACATCAAAAACTATTTTGTCTTTTCTTTTTTCATCTATCCAAAAAACCATTCTTTTTCAATTCACCTACATGTGACATGATTTTATTCATTCTTAGTTTATCAATCTCATCATATTTTTGCTCTAAAAAGTTAAAGAACTCACTTGGTATTAACTAAAAAAAGTCTTCTCTTGGCATTGACAATCTAGTTTTTTGCAAAATTTGCATTGACAATGTTAGAGGGTGTATTCAATTAAGATTTCAATAGATTTTTTCTTGGATTATAAATGTCATTGAATATTTAGTTGAAGTTTTTTTTAATAATCATTTAAAATTTTAATGTGCTGAAGTGAAATTTTACCAAAATTCTTTCTAAATCTGATGATATTAATAAAAAGATAATCCCGCTTAGATACCATGTTGGAACTTCGATGGCCGAGTGAATTGGGCAGAATATTGGACTGAATTTAAGTCTAAAGTTCTACTTTAGAACCTTAAATTTTGATAGTATTTTATCCTATCAAAATTATCTTATCTTAAGACAATGGTTAACTTTAAAAAATTGAAATAATGATGTACTCGTATATATATAGGTCTATGGTTTAATTAATTTGTTTACTGTTCTTTTTTTTCTTGGTGTTAGATTTTGTGCCAACAGATTGTAAGGTCTTCTGTTGTCACGACAATCACATCGGTTCTTGTAATCCTGGCACCAGTGATGACACCAAATGCGATAACCTCTACTTTCAAAGCAATTGTGGCAAGGGCGGGAAATGCAAGATCTTAGGCAAAAAACCCCCTAACCATTTTTGTCATTGCTTTTGCTAGCTTGCAGCTAGAACGAAAGCCGCCATGGCTATTGTACAATACAATACAAGATTGTAGTATTTCTTCATTCATTGTTGAGCATTTAATCTCTTGCATGATATATAGTAAAAAACAATAATTTTTTTGTGACGAATTTCTATAAACGTTATTGGTTCACTATCTTTTTGCACATTGATTTAGAGCTAAATATTGTTATGTATTTTAATGTAATTGGAAAAAATTATTGACCAATAATATCATAATAATAATCAAATAAGTATATGGTGGTGCGGAGTGCACACTTTGTTGAATTTGTTATGATAAAAGTCTTGTTATAATGGGGGTTCTGAAGGGGAAACTGTTAGGTCTATAATTTTTAGTATATGGGTTGGCGTTATTTTTGACAACACACAACCACTAGAACATTGTAGTGTAGTGTCCTTATGTTAGTAGTATTATTGGTCATCCTGCATGGCAATATGGACTAGGACGCTACGCTGGAAGTTATTAGCTCAAAGAAGGATTCCTGTTTTGTCAAGTAATCTGCCTTACCAAAGACTCCTCTCTGGACTCAACAAATATGTATGCGCAAGAGTTCTACAACCTACACGTTAGGGTTCCATCCCATGTAAAGTCCAGAGATATAAATAGAGGTTGAACAGATGGCAGAGGTGGGCGACAAAAATAATATCAGGCTAAAGAGAGAGAACATACTCAGAGTTCATCTATCATAGAGAAGAGCTTATCATATACACATACGTGAGGTTACGATGAGAAGGTTAGCCATAGATCATCTCTGAAGTTTTGTTCAGCTGGTGAATCGTGAGAGGCTGAGCAAAGGTCAAGAACACATCCTTATTGCAGAGCAACGAGAAGGTGTAATAGGCCTGGTTAGACACAAACCGAGTTTGGCGTCTGATCTCGTAAGTAGACAAATCTGTTCAATAGAAGGATCTGTTGAGTTTGATTGTGTAATTCTTATGATGATCTAGTGGAAAGGCTATTACACGGATGTGGGCCTCGCAGACGTAGGAGAGTTGGCTCCGAACTGCGTAAACAAATCTCTGTGTCTTTGCTTGCTTTCTGTTTGTGTTTGAGTCAGTGTTAGAAAAGGTGTTGTAGCATTCTGTGAAATTTAGTTGTTGCGCTACATCACAATTTCCAACTACATTCTCTTGTGTTAAGTGTGTGTGTCTTTGGCTTATATACTGTGCTGTGGGTGTGGAAATATCTGACCGGAGCTTGTAATATTTGAATCCGAACCAAAAAATCAAATATCCGAAACCGGCCCAAAAAAATTTAAACCGAACCTGATTTTTATCGGGTCGGGTTTGGATTAGTATTTGACCAACCCGACCCGACCCGACATGTACCCGACTTTTAATAAGTTATTAAAGGCCTAAATTCCTATATTTCATGTATTTTTGATGTACATATTTTTAATGTTTTAAAACTTATTGCATTTTTTGTGTTTCGTTTTTATTGTAGTTTAATCTTGTGGAGTGCAATTGAAGGGGGTGGGGGGTGTGTTCGGGTCGGGACGGGGTGGGGGGTTTACTGGGGGTAAGGGGGTAGGAACTGTCAATTTTACGAATGAACGGGGCACCAGAGCGCCTCGGGTCATCTCATGGGAACCTTGGTGTTTATCAAGATTGTGTAGTCATTTTGCTTCTAATTTTTGGGTGGAGTACCCAACACTTTGTTTGGTTCAAGGATTATGAAAGGGAGAAAGAAAAGAAAATGAGAGGAAAAAAATCGATTTTCTTTCATTTTAGTGAGAAATAAAAATGAGAGATTTCCTTCCAAATTTTTTGAACCAAACATAGTGTAAAGGTTTTCGATTGGGTATTATAGGAATATTGGGGAATTTCTTCTAACTTGCAAATGTTTTGCATCGGTGTGTGGGCAGTGAATCCGGTGGGGATTTCTATAGATTGAGTCTGTTTTAAACTGTTTCTTTGGAAGGTTTCAAAAACAAACATGAAATTCGGTGTCATTCTTTTGATCAAGAGGCTTTTCTTGTTCAAAAGTTAATGTCAAGCACATACATCCTCAAAGCTTTACACAATGTTTGGTCTGGAGAATTATGAAAGAATGAAAAATGGCTAGGAAAAGAAATCAAATGAAGAAAAATTCTTTTTATCTTGTTTTTTTTTCCCTCATTTTCTTCACAAAAATGTGAAATGTAATGTTTTCCTACCTTTTCTCTTCTTCCCAAATTTCGTTTATTTTTTTCCAAGTTTTCTAACCAGACCCTAACACTTATTTTCCTTACCATCCTTTCTTAATTTCTTTGACCAAACATAGGGTTGGAGAATTTTATATTAAAACAAGTACAAAATGGAAATATACTTAACGATTTAACTTTATTAATTTATAAATCTATTTTGGTGTGGATGATTTTTACTCTAATTTATCCATGATGTGGATGGATTTACTCGTTCTGTATTTTATCAGCGGGCTAGCATCCTTTAAGCTCTACTTAACTTTTAATTTAAGTATAGAGATAAATTATAGCTTAGCGTTTCGTAGAACAAGAAGCACCAGTGGTCTAGTGGTAGAATAGTACCCTGCCACGGTACAGACCCGGGTTCGATTCCCGGCTGGTGCATTTCAGGATGGTGGTGAGGAAAATGTATTGGGTAATCTGGATCCCCAATTTGACCTGAAATAATAGGCCATATTGTGATTCTGAGCCATCCTTTTTTTATGCTCAAAAGCCTATTTTTTTTATATAACGCTCTTTTAAAATAATGGTTTAAAATTACTTTAAATCATTAAAATATTATTCTTTAATTACTAACCCATGGTATAGATCCAACATTAAGCGTTGTGGCCTGTAAACTTAAATAGTTTTTTATATAAATCTTTTTTTACATTTTCTTTTGTAGTATATGCTTGCCAGGTTTGATCTGTTTGCCTTTAATGTTTATTTTCTTATAGGATTAGAGTTTCGAGCGAGTAGGTTTATATAAATATTGTAAACCAAAATACACAAATTAAATTAGATTCTAAGCCAGTGATTTATTTAAATATTGTAAACAAAATATACGGTGTTAAGGAGCCAATTTAACCAAAATCTCAAATTTATGGTTGTAGTTTAAAAAAATTTATTTATGTTCTAACATGTCCAAGAAGTCACATAATAAAGTTGTCGTTATATCCCTTTCAAGGAATAGACTCAATGACTTGCATCATTGTTTTTAGCAAAATGACTCTTTAAACTGTATGCGCTTTTAGATAGTGGAGTAACAATCACTCAATGCAACTATGGGTCATCTAGAAACAGCCATTCTGAGTTTTAAACATATGAATTGCACCAGAAAAGTACTCATCTAGCAGATTTTGTGGTTATAACTCTCATGTACATATTATCTGAAATGTACTCTAAGGTATATTCAGTTTTTTTAGTAAAAGCTCTCACTCAATGCAACTATGGGTCATCTAAAAACAGCCATTCTGTGTTTTAAACATATGAATCACACCAGAAAATTACTCATCTAGCAGATTTTGTGGTTATAACTCTCATGTCCATATTATCTGAAATGTACTCTAAGGTATATTCAGTTTTTTTAATAAAAGCTCTCAGGTCCCATATTATCTGAAATATACTTTGGGATCCTTAAAATTTGTGGTAATGTACCTTGAGATACATTTCATCTATTTGTACACAAGAATTGAAAGCTTCGTTACTTTAACAAACACTAAATTTAACATTTATGATCATTATTTTATTAAATATAAATAAAATCCTTTAATTTGTCAACATTAAAAATCCTAATGCCTCCTAAATGAACGGAATGTACCCTCGAAGTATAATATCACAAGATTTTGAGGTACCTCCGAATATTTTCAGATGATGTGATACTTGAGAGTTATTGACATAAAATCAAGAGTATCACGGAGTAATTTTTTGAGGTCACGTTGTGTACGTGATCACCAGTGGTATGATAGAATAAAAGCTCTCTTTCTGCTTTTGAGTAAAGGTAAGATCTGCCTAGACACCCTCTCTAGACCCTACTTTTTGGGGATTGGATTGGGTTATTGTTCTTCTCTCAAGTCAAACGCAATTTTTAAGTGCGCAAACAATATTTCTCTCTAGTTTATGTAGTTAAAGAATAGGATTGGCGTTACGGAGTCACAAAAAAGGTCGCATAGAAATAGTTCTTCTATTAGCCTTTTGTTAGGCTCAATTCCTTTAGTAATTTGACCATAATAATATGTTTTGGTTCTTTGCAGTGAGCAAGATTTACACATGGGTTAATGTTATCAAGTTTGTTGTGTTACTACTCGCAATTCCTTTCATGCATTATGGGGTGAGTGATTCTCCCATAGTCTCTTGCAAGTCATTTCACATTGTCTGAGTAGAAGGTTTTAGTAGCCACTAGAATCTAATGAATCCTCATTAAGATCGTGCTAGGGTAACATCAACATTTTAGAGTTATCATGACTTCGAGCTTTGCACAGACACGCACAGACTGTTTATGGTTGAACAACTAACAAGTCGTTCAACGTATATTTAGTAATTTCACAACTAACGGCTAAAACATCAACGTTGTTTTCTCGAACGAATGAAGTATTAATACTTTCTTGTATTTGTGAAAATTTCACAGGTTGCAGAGCTGTATGGGATTTAATATATTCATGTCTTCACCATCGCCGTGATCGCTATCTCATTGGAATCACTGTTCGTAGTGCTGATGTTGGGTAACGCCACTTAGATAACGTAGCGAAATAATTTTTTTTTTGTATCTAAACGTTGTTACCACCCAAGATCGCCTTATTTAAACTATAAATTATTGTAAGAAGAATACCTTTTTCTTCCCAGAAAATAGAAACAGATCGGAAGGTGTGGTAGAGGGTTTGCTGCAAGGAACGTAGCTACAAAATTATCCAACCTCTAGCGCGTTCGCACGAACAACGAACATCATTCTAAGAAGAATTTATAATAGTAATTTTTTCCGAAAATATTACTAGAATATAAAATATTAATTGGGATGATCGAGAAAAATATACCTTTTTCCGTTCTCATGATTCTTGATCGGCAATCTCTTTATAGAGAGAGGTGAGGGTGTGTGTTTTATTAGTCAAAACGAGTGGAGAGCAAGTCTCCTACTCTCATTAAATAAGAATTTTCTAATCACTTAGAGCACTGGAAGCGGCAAGGAGAAGCCTTGCCACGCCTTGCCATTCGTGTAGAGGGAAGCCTGGCAGTGGGCAAGGAAAAAAAGGGTCACGAGGCATTCCGCGAGTCACTTCGCTTTGTGTGGCAGATGCGAGGCAAAATTGAAGCAGCAAAATACAATTACTCTCTTGAAAAATCATCGGTCACTCTCTTCTCCGCGCTAGTCTTCTCCGACCATTAGTTTGTTCTCTTCTCTACGCTAGTCTTCTCCGGCCATCATCCTTCACCTGCAACCAACCCTCAGGTATCTCCACTCGGCCATTGGTTTGTTCTCTTCTCTGCGCTAGTCTTCTCTAGCTTTGATTGCTCTGCATTCCATCTCTCTGCTTAATCTCTTTTAGGTTGAATGGATTATTTTTAATTCTTCAAAAAATCAAATAGATGAATTCATGGTAGTGCACACTAGGTGTTTGAAAAAATGTCCAAATGTAGGTTATTGAGTTTTTAGACAAAAAATACTATTGTTGGAGAAATACAATCATTACAGTTTACACTCTTGTTCGAAGTGATTGTAATGTGAAACACCCACAATTTGATATTCTTTATTGAAGCATTTGGGAATATTACATATAGGCTATATTGCTAAGATATATGTTTGATGCTGATTTTGCTGCTATTTTGAAACCTAGCTTCCAATTAAAATGGGTAATAAAGTGATGAACCAGATTGGATGCTGGAGTATGAAATGCTCTAGAGTGGTTAGATTTCTCAATGTGCTCAATTATCAAAGTTTATGTATAGCTAGTAGAGTATCATATTTATTTGTCACACATGATGAAATAGACTTTGAGTTCTTGGGGAATGTGAGTGGTGAGCCATGCACTCTGCACAAAAATGTTAAACAGTGTCAGTGTCGTGTCAACACGTGGTATTCCACTATATGAACAAAGGAAGCACTAAATGCCTAACTATTTCTCTTTTGCTTGCCGAAAATGGTTTTATCCCATATAAGATGTGTTTACTTGGACCGTACAAATATTCTATCTCTTAATTTCAATTTATTCCTCTTATGAAAATGACTCCCATTAACTCATTTTTATTCTTCAACCCTTCCTATTCAGCCCATTAGAATCTTTGTTTTAACCATTAAGTTCTTTAAGTAAATACTCATTTATACCATACTCCAAAAGGAAAAAAAAACCCAAAACCCAAAAACCAAAAAGTAAAAAATCAAATCGGCAAATGGCTTTTGCCCCCTCCTTCCTTTGATGTGTGGGCATGGATCCAAAACCTCCCACCAATCACACAATGGACAAGTGACTGCATCCAAACAATGCCCAAATGGTACACTAACAAAAAAGGGAGTCAAAATGTAAAACCAATACACATTAAAGCTCTTACAGACTGTAACTAGGAGTGAATGGGATGGATTGAATGAACAGATTCTTACTTCATTCCCCTCGCAGAAAAGAAGTTAAGAATGAAGACGGCAAAATTAGTTAGTTACTACAAATTACGTACTACCATATTCACGGGCAGGAGCGGTCTTTCTTGAACTCTTAATCAGTTGATACCATCTGCTCAAATACTCTCAAGGCGGCGCAAAAGAGCTCGACTGCGCCTCATGGAATTCCATGTCAAAATCTCAAGCATCAGCCCACTCAGGATGTAGATGAAAAGAAGACTCGCATTTGCGTCACGCTGCAAATGTTTCACAAATACAAGAAAATATCAATTATGGTATGTTTGGGAACATGGATTTGGATTTCAAATCCGGATTTGGCTCAAATTCCATGTTTGGGAAACTAAAAAATTTTGAATTTGGATTTGAGCCAAATTCTTCTCATTCATAACAAAGCTTAATTTGAAATCCATGTACCTCCCTTTGTCATTTGAAATTCAAAATTTCAAATTTTGGGATTGAAATGCATGAATTGAAATGAAATGCTAGTTGCCAAACACTACCTTACTTCATTCGTCCCAATATAAGGTTCAGGTGCAGGTGTCTTATTTACTTATTCATTTAATTATTGTTTGTCTGTCCCTGAATATGGTTGATGTTCACTTCTACTTAAAGATGTGTTAAGTTCATATAAAGAACCATGTTGACTGCGGGATAACAAAATATGCCTACTAAGACTCGACACTCCATCATAGATGTAAAATCAAATATGAGTAGTGTAATTTATTTATTTATTTATTTTTTATGGTTCATAAGAAATGACTTAAAAATTAAAATGACAAGATAGACATTAGAACGGCAGCGCCATTTTGAAATCCGAGTGCGCTTGTAGTTGAGGATTCATTTAAGATTAGTGGCTACTGATACCATAATTAATTTTGAGGTTGAATCATTAATTAACATGACGAGAGTAGTGCTACGTCTTTTGCGTTAGTTTGAACTCAGCCGACGTGAAATGAATACAAAATGAAGTATGAGAGAATCACTCACATATGTATAAAGAAATGGTACAACCACAGAAACGTAGGACAAAGCATGAGCCCATGTGTACCTCGTGTTTCCTGCAACAAGAAAATTATAGTACAGAGTACTATTAATATACATCAACAAGCAATTGAGCTTTAAAATTTGGGTCATAACAGAACTTTTTCTACGAGACCTTTTACAGCACTCCTTAAAACTATTACCATATTTTAACTACACGGACAAGATAGAGTTATTGTCTATGTAGTTAAGAAGTTGTGTGGCATACGAATCAGTGTATAACAATGTTATACATCTAACTTGGCTCATGTTAAATATTGCAAAGAAAATGGACTAATAAATAATACCCCTTGAAGAAGCCATGACACATAACAGAATGGCTATACAGATAGCAATAGGTAGCGAAAAGACAAGGGGCCTAGCTATTCCCGTGTCACGCACCTACCAAAATCAGAAACAGAAATGTTAGTTTTTATTTTAAAGTTCTTTGTTGACACTAAAGGGCTGTTTGGCTGGACAACTTGAAGGGAGAGGATAGGATATGCAAGAAATAAGAATAGCTTTATATGTTTAGTTAATTCATGTAGTTCTATATATTTCTTCATTTTCAGATTTCACCCCGACCATTCAACTGTTTGACTACAAAAATGACAGCAACAAGTCCAGTATAATCTCAATACTGAAAAAAAAACAGTAAAACCTAATCCATACAAAGCAATGACAAAAAATGTTTCTCTTTGCCAAGACTTTTACTATAAGGTGTTAAGTTTTGCCATGCACAGAGTATAATATAAAGGAAACAAATGCTCTTTGAGTGTGCCCTTCATGATTTTTGGCCCCTGGATAGAGGGTCAAGATGTGCTCCACCTTACCACTGTAAAGAGGAGACATTTTCAATAGACCCGGGATGAATATCCCGCCTAAGACTTTGTGAAGTGATATAAGGCGTCATTTTGTTGTAGTCTATTATTTACTTGAAGCTACAAAGCATTAGTATTACAGTAAAATTATAGAAGTAATATAAGGTGTCACTTTTTGGATGCACGTAGTATAAAATTGAAATAAGTACCAAAGTATTCTCCAGAAAGCAAAAGTATGATAGGGTGCTCGCAAAAAACAGAAGGGATGACTTCCAAATCCTGCATAGTATTACAGTAAAATCATCCATGTGAATATAAATAAATATATAAATTAATAAAATTTAGTTTTTGTTTAGTAATTTTTCTGTCGTGCAATTATTTTAATGTGAAGTTTCTCAAACCCTATGTTTGGTTCAAGAAATTCAGAAAGGAAAAGAAAAGAAAATGGAAAGGAAAATTAATTTTAGTGATTGGTTAGAAAGAAATAGAAAACAAAATTGGGAGGAAGAGAAAAGGTAAGAAAATGGCATGAATCCGGTTTTTCTTCTATTTTTGGTAGGAAAATGAGAGAAAACATCAAACCTCACCCTCCCTTTCCCCATCGGCCACCTCCCTCTCCCAACTCTTAGGTGCAACCCATCCAATGATTACCCTCCACACCCCACCCACCCCCTTCTCTCCATTTCTTTGTGCAATATTTTTTTTTGCTTTCTCTACAAAATCGAACAAACGACTGAAAATTGATTTCTTGACTGATGTGCATATTAACAAAAAAAGACAAAGAATTATAGTTTCTTAGAATTTTGTTTTCCCTTCCTATGCATTTTCATTTCTTTCATAATTCTCCAAACCAAACATAGTGTAGAGCTGTGAGGATGTGTGTGCTTGATATTGACTTTTGAACAAGATATGCCTCTTGACCGAAAGAACGAAACAGAGCATTCATTTGTAGTTTTTGACACCTTCCAAACAAATGGTTCATATTTATAGAGTTGAATGAACATTAATATGTAGCCAATCATTCTTCTTAAAATTTCCCAATGCAGAAATTGGTTATAAGACACTCCAAAAGTAGTGGTAAAACATAAAAAACAACAATATTATCTCAATGCATCCGCTGCTACTTCACTATAAATTCATGCAAGAATGAGAAGCAGATGTGGGTTCATAAAAATGAAAATCATTTGACATGCCTGGGGAGAAACCCGTCTGAAGCAGCGCCAGGTGTGATGGCAAGATTTTTCACCTCCACTTTGCAGACATCACAAATGTTGTTCCCCTTCAAGACAAACCACTTCCGAATGCATTTCTTGTGGCCGATTGCCAGGTCTCCCTTGCAGGAGCACTCAGTTTTGAATGCATCTCCTCTTAGCTCTTGAAAACAGACCCTGCAAGTGAATCCCTGCCCTGCAAATCCGTCCACAGGAAACAACAATCATTGACAAAATAGTTGAAAACAGGATCTCGGGAGATAACTCGAATTTCCCCGCAATAGCGACCCAACGCTTGATTTCCCCAACCCGAAACCCTCAATTTCAACGAGAAACTCGACTGCTAATTAGGAAATCAAAATTGAAGCAAGGATTAGAAAGCTCACCTGGGCGGCGAATTGGAACGGAAGAGAAGAGGGCGGAAAACCATAGCAGCACCTTCTTCGCAGTGGATGTCATCTCTTTACCGCTTCCTTACCCGAAGGAAGAGCAGAGAAAAATTACTGTGCCGTATTTTACTAGGGTTTCTAGGGACGAAGCTTTTGTTCAACCACTTGGTTATTTATATTTTATTACTAATTTTATAAAATAATATTATCGCATCTCATTTTAGAATTTTTTGTGTTATTCCTACAGATAACTTTCATAAATTATATTTCTTTTAATTTCGTACTAGTTTTATTTAGGTAAAAAAAGTAATTTCTTAATCTTTCTACCTCTCTGCCTGAATATTTGTTAGTTTTAACTTTTTACAGTTAAAATTTATAAACTTTGACTATTAATTAAATGAAACGAATGTTAGATATTAGCGTAAAAATAATTTATTAGATTTATTTTATAAAAATATTTTTTTAGTTTTTGTTTTAACTAATTAATACTACCTCCGTCCCGTGAAACATTTCCCCTTTCTTTTTTTATCCGTCCCACAAAACACTTCTCATTTCTATTAAAAAGTCACTTTTACCCCTTACTTTTTCATACCCTAACTATCACATCATACCTTTTTACTAATAATTTATCCATCAAATCATACTTTTACCCATCACATCAAAGGACATTTTTGGAAATTTAATACCAAAATACACTCCCTTAAATCCCTCCTAAAAAGCAAATGTCCCATGTTTCACGGGACGGAGGTAGTATATCATATAATTTTTATTTTATTGTACGACAAAAGTTAAGAATGATTGATTGTAAAAAGTCAAAATTTAACAAATATCCAAAGACGAATGTATAATTAGTTTTATTACAATATATTCTCAATCCATACATATTTTTTCAATCTACTAAACACAAAGAGTCAGTACCTTCACGGAGAAAATCCATGTAAGCTTCTTTTTTAATGCTATTGACTCGATTACAAGGTAGTATTTGTTCATACAATTTTCAATCTAATGATACACAAAGAGTCAGTGTTTCATCTCTGATGGAGCTCGAACCTGGGTGAACTTCCTCATGAATCTTGAGAAGTGGGCTTGCTACCACTCAAGCCATGGGAGATGTTCACCCATGTAACCTTCTATTTAGGAAAGCGCCGGGGGGCATTGTGTAGTTGGCAAGGTAAGGGTGTCAAAGGGTAAGACTCGAGTTCGATTCCTGGCTACTGCGCTAGGAGACAACTATTCTAAGCATAAGGCCTCTGTTTTCAAAACTTATTTCTAAAGTCCCCGTGGTTTCAAAGTGTTGCACCCACACCCCCTCTGATCAAAACAGAGGGAGTATTGGTGCATGTTTTGCAAACCACAAGGGGTACCAGCGCTATTAGACATATGTTTAGCAACACCTATAGTCCATTAAATTCTACGTGTTTTTATTAAAATTTTATAAAGTGATCTAGAATTCTACATAAGTATATAATTATGTAGGTAGAGTATTTTCCTTGATTGATTATGTGGTAATTACATGTAAATATATACATGAGGTCTTAATCCTAATTATGGTAGGAGAGACATATTGGGAAGGCAATACAACTATGGTAATAATATAATACAAGAATATTAAATATATAAATAATATATTTAACATGCTCCCGGCTATGTCGGATGAGGAAGCGGTCTGGTACCTAAGCTATCTCTGAAATCAAGAAATAGAAGTGAAGAGAGTCCTTTGGTGAAGATGTCGGCATACTGAGAGGAGGATGTAACATGCAGGACTCGAATGTGACCGAGTGCCACTTTGTCACGTACAAAGTGTATGTCTATGTTACGGGATTATTATTATTATTATTATTATTATTATTATTATTATTATTATTATTATTATTATTATTATTATTATTATTATTATTTTTGAACCAAATGCAAATAAATTTATTGATCATCCAAGACATAAGTGCATAGCAGCACGGGAAAACAAAATACAAAGCTTCAAAACCTGCCTCTAACACTTAGACTAATAATAACACAAGCAGCTATGAGTTTACATAAGGACTACATATTTTAGCATTCATGAAGGTGCTAACATGGTATCTGATCCAGTTGAAAGCTTCTTCAGTTGGGGTTAAGGAATTCTCATGAAAGACCAGATTCCTAACCTTCCAGAGGTAATACACACAAGCTGCAAACACTGCTGTTTGCTTCATCCTTCTTTTAGTTGGTGTTATCTTCTGAATTTGGTCACAAATCTCTTCGAAGGTTTGCCCCTCAAATAGCTGATGGCTCCAATTATATATCTTCTTATATAACTCTCTAGTGTAAGGGCAATTGCAGAAAAGATGATGTCTATCCTCCTCTCCATTTGAGCATAATAAACATTGAGTGTCAATAGGATAAAACCTCCTCAATCTGTCTTTGGTCAGAAGCTTATCCTTGTAGGTGAGCCATAGGATGAACTTATGTTTTGGAAGTGAGAGCCTATTCCAGACCAAGCCAGTCCAGCCTGGTTTCAGCCTTTGGCCCAATAGCCATTGATATCCAGCCTCAGTAGTATAGGAGCTAGATCTACCCATCTCCACAAAGCAATCTCTTGTTTGTAGTATTTTCTTCCAATAGAAGCAGTCATCAGTCTTGATTTTGCATTCCCATATATCACTGTTTTTTAGGTACCTATTATGGATCCATTTGATCCACAAGATCTCCTTTTCCAATGCGATGTCCCACACCATTTTCATAACGCTAGCTTTATTATAATACACCAGATTTTTAAGGCCGAGGCCCCCATATTGCTGTGGTAGACAAAGGTCGTCCCAAGCAACTAAGGGAGTTCTTCTCTGATTTTGAGAAGATCCCCATAGGAAATTTCTACATAGGGACTGGATCTTCTTCATAACCATGGATGGGATAATAAACAATCTACTCCAGAAACCAATAATCCCATAAAGGACAGAGTTAATTAGTTTTACCTTTCCTGCATAAGAAAGGTTCTTAGAAGTCCAAACTGTCAGTTTAGTAGTTAACTTCTCAGTGAGTGCTTCACATTCTTTAGCACTGATCCTGGAGGAGGTAATAGGGCTTCCAAGGTACCTGAAGGGGAAAGAGCCTTTTCTCATGTTGGTTAGATGAAGAAACTTGTTCTCCTGCTATTTGTTTATACCACCAAAAATGATCTCTGCTTTTGAGTGGTTGACAGAAAGACCTGCTGTGTGTTTGAAATGTTCCAGGGCCATCAAAATACATTTAAGAGAGCTCTCATCAGCCTTGCAAGCTACGATTAGATCATCAGCAAAGATAATGTTAACAAGCTTCAGAGATTTGCAGAGGGGGTGGTAACCAAATCTCTCTTTAGCCACAAAAAAATGTAATGATCTGGTAAGATACTCCATAATGAGGACAAATAAGAGAGGGGATATGGGGTCACCCTGTCTTATCCCCTTCCCTCCCTTAAAAAAGCCAAAACACTCTCCTTCATATTGAATAGAATAAGTAGTGGAGGTCACACAGTAATTGATCCAGTTGACAAATTTTGAAGGGAATTTTAGTAGTTTCAGGATTTGATCTATAGCCTTCCAGCTTACATTGTCATAGGCTTTCCGAAGATCCAGTTTCATCAAACACCTAGGGGATATGCCTTTTCCTGTTGTATCCTCTTGCTAGTTCCTGACATAGTAGTACGTTATGGACTAGTTCTCTCCCATGTATGAAAGCCCCTTGGTTCAGATTCACTATGTGTGGCAGGATGTTTTTAAGTCTGTTGCACAAGATCTTAGAGATGATTTTATAAATTACGTTGCAGCAAGCAATGGGTCTGAGGTCATATGGGCTTTTAGGATCCTCATTCTTCGGGATAACAACAATATTTGTAGAGTTGATTTGCTTGAGGGTATCTTCTTTATGAAAGAAGTCAAGTATTGCCTGTGTGATTAGACCCCCCACCTTCTTCCATTGGTTTTTAAAGAATCCGCTGCTAAAACCATCTGGCCCCGGGCTTTTATTATTAGGAATCTCAAACAGACTAGTCTTTATCTCATCAGGGGTTATAGGAGCAATCAAGGCCAACTGCTGATCAATTGATAGTGTATTACCCATAGAGATAATGTTCGGGTTAATATCCTCAGTCTCCATTGTCCTCCCTAGTTGATTTTGATAGAACTCTACTAGTACTTTAGCCACTTTGGTTTTCCCCTCCACTACTTCTCCATCCTCTTTAGCAATCGCAGTAAGATGAGTTTGGGCTCTCCTTTTCTTCACCCAAGCATGGAAAAGCTTAGTATCTTGATCCCCATATGTGATCCAGTCTGCCTTTGATTGTTGACATTTCATGAGGAAGCTAGCTATGAGTTTTTGGTGTAGCTCCTGAGTCAACTCTTTTTCAAATTTTGCCAAATTTGTGTTAGAACTGTTTGCCCTCTGATCTGCCTGAACAATGTGCAGTTTAGTTCTAATTTGATCAATTTGGGAATCTAAATTTTGGAACTTACTTTTGTTCAGCTTCTTCAGGGGGCCTTTGAGCTGCTTTAATTTTTGAATAACTTGGTACATAGGATAATCTTTGTGTTCCTGGTCCCAAACATCAGCCACTAGAAGAGGGAATTGGGGATCTAGGGTCCACATGTCACAAAATCTGAAGTGATGTCCAGCTTTAAATTGTTCCATTTTCTGTATTATCATGGGAGAATGATCTGAGATTCCCCTTTCTTTAAAATACACCTTGTAATCAAAATTGCACATCCAGTTAATATTCCCCAAGACTCTGTCCAGTTTGGAGTAGATGCGCTTATCATAATCTTGGTTATTTGTCCATGTGAATCTAGGTCCTTCAAATGGTAGATCTTCTAATCCACACAAATTTAGACAGTCTTGGAACGGTCTCACTTCCTCCCAACTAACAGGATTGCCACCAATTTTCTCATCCTGTTTCAGAACTGTATTAAAATCCCCTAAAACACACCAAGGGGCAGAGGTAGCTAGCCTTTGTAAGCTCTCCCATAATTCCCTCCTTTTGTTGGATTCATTATGGACATAGACAAAGGTTAGGTGTCCCATTTTATTAACTCCAAACTCTCTGACTTGGCAGTGTACAATCTGATCTGTATGCTCCAAGATCTTAACATCAAGCTTTGTTTGGTCCCAAATAACCCAGACCCTACCCAGTGGATGGGCTTGATTATTGATGAAAGACCCCCATCCTCTACAAACTCTGTTCTCCATATCTTTAAATTTGCTATCCTTTATTTTAGTCTCCAAAATTCCAAAAATAGCTAACTTATACTTATTTATTATATTTCTAACTTCAGCTTGTTTATTAGGGCTGTTAAGCCCTCTAATATTCCAACAACCAATCATAATAAGAAAGGGTAGTGACCCTTATATGGGACAGTCATCAGATCCTTATGTATATTCCCCACATAATTACCTTCTGTACCTTCCAAAGACCTCCTCGCAGCTTTTTTCTTTGAAATCTCAAGGAATCCTGAGTCATCAGAGTTCTCTGGATTCTTTGCCTCTACATTTTCCTTATCCCTCTTATTATCTTCCTTTTCTGTTTCAGTTCTCTGGGGTATGGAGGGTGGTGCTGCTTCATCCTTGCCCCCCTGTGGTGTGGTTTTAGGTCTCCAAATTTTCTTTCCTCCTGTACCCTTTGTGTTTTCAGTATTTCTCTTTCTACACATCTCGAACACATGACCAATTCTATTACAGTGTGAGCAAACAGTGGGAGCCCATTCATACTTTATCTTCTGGGTTATTATT